TAATATCTATATATATAAGAAGATTCCTCTTCTACTAGTATACGCAAAATAAGTCGAGAATTAAATATCTCAAGAAGTATAGTATAGCGTGTTTTTAGTTATGTGTACAGATGATTTCCTTCTTGCTTTAATAGCCATGTACAAAATCTCATTCTGCATAATCTTGTGGTAATAAATTTTGTACCTTTGTGAAATAGTATGCATGGAATCTGTTTTTTTTTTAAACAATTTTGCATCTAACATTTGACAATGTGGATTTATCAAATATTTAACAAGATGGTATCGAGCCTTTACTATACAAGTATGGACTGCTAGCCTCTCACTTTTCTCATGTTAAAAGCGTATGCCTGTTGTCACCACATTGGATCGAGATATTTCGAGATTTAGGCTCCATCCCGTGTCCCAAATGACAGATAATTCAAAAATGAAATAAGAATTTCCGTAAACGGATATATTTTATTAACATTTTATAAAAAGTTGTATAATAATTTATAAAATCATGATTACTGATTATACTGATTAAAAACAGATATAAAATATATAAAAATATTATTTATTGTCCTTTAAATATAACAATTTTTATTAACATGTGTCGAGTGAAAGAATTATGTTTATTTCTTGTTTCACACGCTCCGAAGTACGATATTTTAACATTATTACGTTTAAATAAATTCATGAAATCAACTAACTCGTATTTATGATTTTCAAAAATATGTAAGTTTCGTATATGCTCGTCAAATGAAATAATATGGACTGATATGAACTGATATGCACTGATCAATCACTCACGCTTCAATGACGTCACGCATTTTAGTTCGTGGGACATGGTAGCGCCACTGTCCAAACTAATGTTGGCGTCACGAGTGAAGTGAGCTACCAGCAATCCATATTTATATAGTCATTTATATAGTCAAAGGCATCAAGCTATATGAAATATGAAGCATATTATCATATACGTAGTTCTGAAGTAACTGATGTTCTGCTTTGAATATCCTAAGCAGTTTGTTACCTTCAGACATTGTAATCTATGCTACATTGTAATCTCGCCACTATTAGACATCATCATCAATTCCGACATTCTGTGACGAAATAACCAAACTTAACCAAATAACTTTAATCAAAACAATAATAAGTGATTGGATAATCGAGATAATGTCGGATAAAACGAGCTCGGATAATCCAGGTTCTATTGTATACATATTTACAATTTGCACAAACTAATTTTATTTAAAACTATACTTTTATAGTTATCATCTGGGCTTGATTATCTAAACATGATAATTATAGAAAAAAAAATTGTAATTTTACAGCAATGATATTATAGTAGTATAAGTATGCATATTTATTTACGAAGCATTTGTATCATGAATTTAATAATTTATTATTCAGACATTTATGATGAAGATTATAACTTTATATCAATAGTCGATACTTTTCGATTATTTCCTTCTTTGATGATTACAAAAATTTGCCCAGAATTGACGGTCTGATAGTATCTCATCGATGATAGTAATATTCATTTATTGACTAACTAATAAGTATATATAGCTATTTTACAACATTTCTCTAAAATATATCACTGTTTTAATACAATATAAACAGTACTGTCGTGGGTATTCAGCAATAGAATACAGGTTTATGTAGATTCACTCGCGCAGGTCATGTTATTAGATGACTTCCATGTAATTAAACACGAACATATGATAGAACTTAGACAGGTTATAAACAGTTATATACAGCATAAGTAGAATTCTTATTATATTCGTCTGTGTTTCTTTATTTATTAATATGGCAGAATGGTCATGTGGTGTAGAAATCAAAGATATATACCGACGCAAAGTGTCCATACTGGTTATGTTTGTAGTTTTAGCATCTTGTGTAGATGTCGCACATATCGCAAATAACGTTTTATGTAAACCTATTTATAATAGAATTAACAAATTAACTAATCTTTCGATTGCACATAGAACATATTTAGAAATTCATATTTTTTGTATTTTTTTAACTAAATTAGTGTTGGACAAAAATTATTAAAAATTTAAACATATTTAAATTTATAATACTATTAATACTATTTATAAAATTTATTATAATTGTCAACATTTTCAGTCTCACATCTTTTAATATTGCTTTACTACCAATAGGCATAGATTTCCATAAATATTAAACTGTTCAGTTATGACTTTTCGTTCTTTATTATACTTATTGCAATATCAAAAAATATGATTTACATCTTCTAGTTCATGTGAACACATGTCGCTCTTTCTCTATTATATCTAAAGAGACTGTATTTTAATAAATTATGACCGCATATCAGTGATATAAGCCATAAACTACTGCCCTCTTGCAACAAGTATTGCAGTTAAAATACGAAACCATAGCTGATACAAGCTATGGTAAATTCTGTAACTCCAGTGATAACTTTGGAATTCTAT